CTATGTGAAACTAATACATAGAGCTATAACCTTATAAAATCTCAGGGCCATTGGTTAAGTATATTAATCCCAATTTAATTTTGTAGTCGCTGCCTTGTTTTCCAAAAATCCGATTGAAACAGTTGGCTTGCGACAGACGTATCTTGAGTTATATAAATCCAATGACGATTTATAATATGTCATTGGAAAGCCCAAGATGTCTAGTTTAACATTAAAAAAAATTATAATTTATGGTAAAGGATTGTAGTCCTAGCTTTAGAAAAAGTGATGGCTGTTCAGTGTCAATAAAATTCCATTGCATGTTTCACACCATGTTAGCTTATAGGGGCTACATGGTGGATGCTATTAAGTTAATTTATGTTGTTGCACATAAGGTATGAGTTACAATTAATGTAATTGAATTATATAGATATAGAGTTTATGTTTAATAAGAAGTAAAAGAAAAATTTATCCGTAATTTTAATTCATTTACTTGATTGTAACTACGCTTAGTATCGTATGTAATCATAACAAACCAGTTCTGGAATGAGGTGTTGCAGTAAAATATATCAAAAGGTATCACATAATCTGTTTGCTGCAATGATTATTGAACATGATATGCCCTTCAACTTTGTTATGTATAAGAAGTTTAGGCGTTGGATAAATTACTTGAATCCACATGCAACTCTTCCTTCAAGAAATACTCTTAAACAAGATATCTTATATATTTATATGAAAGAGAAGGATAAGCTTAAAAAAACAATTACTAGTATTCATGCTTGGATATGTTAAACTTCGGATTTATGGACATCTTGTAATATTAAGGGTTACGTATGCTCAATTGTTTATTTTGTTGATACAAATTGGAAGCTAAACAACAAAATTCTCAACTTTTGTCGCATGCCTCCTCCTCATACTAGATTTGAGTTGTCTAAAAAAATAATTGATTTCTTGAAGGACTAGGAAATATAGAAGATGTTTCTAAGCATTACTTTGGATAATGCATCTACCAATGACACTATGGTAGGTATTTTGAGAAGTCAACTAACTATGCAAATTTGATTATTATTTGATGGAGATTTTTGTGTGTGTGTTGTTCTACATACATATTGAATATATATATAATTGTTCAAGAAGAATTAGAAGTTGCAAGTGATGCCTTGTCCTAAATTCAAGAGAGTATCAAATATGAAAGGAGTTTAGAAAATAGAATGAAAAAAATTTAAAGAATGCATTGAACAAGTTAGTGGTGGTTACATTTGAATTGGTTTGCTTTTAGATGTCTCTACTAGATGGAATTTCACTTATTTAATGCCCTATAGTGCTCTTAGTACCCAACGTGTGTTTTCAAGTCTCCAACTAAGTGATAGAAATTATAATTATTATCCTTTGTAGAAGAGTGGAAAAGAGGAGCTAGAAAAACTTTGTCAGTTCTTGCAGCTATTTTGTAAGATAACCAAGTTGATTTCTGGCTTTCCTACTCTACTTAACAAATATACAAGTAAAATATTGTCAGAAAATGTTGCAATTTGATTTTTTCTCACATTTGGTTGGCTGATTTTGTTAACGATGGTAATTTTTTAATTTAAATGAAATTGCAATTTTATTTTAAATCATAATTGTTCGTCAATTTGATTGTTTTCCATTTTTAATTGTGTTTTGTAGGTGAAGATGATAATGATGGCAATGATAATTTGAATGTGGGAGCTTCTTATTCCAAAGGAACATCTAATAATGTTGTTGACTCTTGATGTGGAAGGCGTTTGTGATCTGTGATCAAGTGTTTTTTTTTGTTTTTTCATACATACATATATATATATGGGCTTATCATTTCTCAAGCTGCCGGAGATAAAGTTATCTCCGGCTACTAAATCATAACCGTACAAAGATGGATGAATGGTGATAAAGGAAGAGAGAGAAAAGAGGAATCATAACCATTCAAAGGTAAATCAATACATATAAGGAAATAAATAATCAAAACGACGTAGTTTTGGGATAGGCAGAGATAAATTTATCTCAAGCAGCTTGAGAAATATTTTTCCATATATATATATGGTTGGGTGTTCTAAAGAAGTTCGTGATTGTAACCTGTTGATTATATTGTCAAGTGTTAACAAACTTGATATTATCAGTACTTAGCAAAATTGAATGCCTTTAGAGTGTGTAACGGAAAATTGGAGCTTACTATAATTGATTAGTTTAGTTGATGAACAGAGCTCCATTTTTGTTTTTCAAATTCTTTTTTAGCCATGCTTTTTTAGTATTGATAGATTTCATGTTTGGTTAACTTGCATAAAGTCTTGAACGCTATTATATATACTAAGTCTACTGACTTTGACACGAGAATAATGAATATTTTTAGCTTGGCGGCTCCTCTTGCTCATTATCGTTTCATTATCAATTTGCACATCATCTTTCTTATAGTATTTTTACACAAATTAATATTTTAGGAAAATGTGTGGCATATTAGACTCATGTTTTTTTTTTTAAATAAGATTTTTTAGGTAGATTGAATAACCAACCCGCCTTAAAAAGAGGTGCACTAATATTTCCAACCCATTAATTAATGGTTGGTCAACTCATCTCGTCCCATTTTTTACGAGTCAAATGCGGGTTGGGATAAATCAACTTATTTTGCCAACTCAAGAGAATAAATAACAAGCATATATAATATTTTTTAATAAAAAATAATGAATAATTAAAACAATTTTTTGTTTCTGTATATCCCTTTTCAATCTCCCACATAAATATGGACGTGACTATAGATGAAATTAAAATGTCATGAAATATGTATACCTTATAATTGGATTTGAATGAAAATTATAAATATTATGATATTAATATTAGGGATAAATTATTCTACCTTTTTTTTCCATGCTTATCATTAACTAACACTATTAAATCATAATTTCAACTTATATTTACCATTTATCTATTCTTTTGAGATTCTAATCAACGGTGTTAGAAATTGATAAAGCAAGATAGACATAAAAAAAGGTAGATAAAATAACATATCCCTTAATATTAATAACCTTGTCAATCAATCAATCTTTATCTAAACTATTATAACTTCAAAACATTATTCTTTAAATTACATGTTTTAGATTTTTTTTTTTAAAATGTTTCTAAATCCTTATTGTGATTATGGTTGAACATGATTTGAACAAGCGTCGGAGCCTTTTCAAAGCTTAATTCTTTATTAGATTGACTATTGAACACTCACACATTATCATAATAACGATAATAATAGTTTTCGGGTTTTAAGAATATTTTTTAATTTTAGTTTATTTTAAAATTATACTAGTGTTTATCATGACAAATTTATTTCCCCCAATTCCATAACAATGTCATTTTTGCGCCAGGCAATTTTATGTATTGTAATAGGAACACTTAATCCTATTATTATTATTATTATTATTATTATTATTATTATTATTATTATTTAATACCTATTAGTATTTTTTTTTATTTTTTTTGTTTCTCTAAAGTAATTTTGTATTAAATATATTTTGATAAACATTTTTTAGTTATAAATTTGAATTATGTTCTGACCGGCCCACTTTATAGGCTTAGCAAGTTGGGCTCAATCTTAATAGCCTATATCTAGAACATTCTATTTCATTCTCTCTCCCTCAGCTGGAAAGTCTCCTCTCCTATAAATATCTTATTCTCCTGTTGAAGAGGCATACCTATTCTATTAATATTCATGAGTTGTTATTATACTAAAAGGTAGAGCCACCAAATAGCCATTTACACACTCCCCCCATCCCCCCTTTGAGATAGTGTGTGAGAACTCTAAGTGCCTGTTTGGATCCTCTTTTTTTTAAGCTAAACTACTTATAAGCATAAGCTAGGCCAAACAGGTTTTGAAAAAAGCTCTTATAATGAAAAGCTCTTTTTTCTATAATGAAGAAAAAAGCTGAAAATTAAAAGCTCCTAGGAGGAGCTTTTTTTTAAGCTCTTGTCTGTTTTTCTTGAATTGTGTGTTTTTTTTAAATGAAGAGTGATAAAGATAGAGAGAGAGATAATTTTCTTGAAATATGTGCTTTTAAGTAAATTTTAAGCTAAAATTTTCATGTAATTTTCAAACAGCTTTTAGCTTCTTTTTTTAAGCTCTCTTTTTTAGCTTTAGCTTATAAGTAGCTTCTAGCTTAAAAATAAGAGGATCCAAACAGGCTCTAAATGAGTCTTGGTCTCTACCATTGCTACTAAGAGTACCTCAAAATTAATATACTTTATCTCTTGAGGGATACATAAGGGGCTCTACACAGACAACACAAATAGTTTAAATTATATTCTTGAGTTTAAAAATTTTCCAAAAAAAAAAATATATTCTTGAATTTAAAAGGTTGAACTAATATAAAACTCAAATAACTCATGAGTTTTAAGTAAGGTAAGTGATCAAGACCTATTATGCATGGGAAAAAGATCTACTTGTACCAAGATCCAAAAGGCCCAACTCACTCATGTGAGACAGCCGCAAAGGCAATCCATCTCGTCACGAGAGGCAGAGATCTTGCTCATGATTTGGCCACCAAGTTAACATAACTTAAACTGATCAAAGGAATCATTATGTTCGAATAAAATAAATAAACTTAATTTCTTATCAGACCAAGCTTAAACTTATGTAGTTCTACTCTAACTTCAATTATTTTGAAGCTTCTATCCCTTCTCGTGATAAAAAAATTAATGTCATTTAGTACGTATAATTCACGTTTTTTACCCGTCGAAAAAAGAAAAAGAAAAAACACTTCCCTTTTTTACGATAATTGATGGGATTATTATGCGTGACAAATAAGTTGAAGTGTTGAATGTAAGTGACATTACTTGTTTCTTATAATTTAAGTAAAAACGCAGAAACAACCAAAAAAATGCTGCCTCAGTTACCTAACGAATTAAGACTTCTTTCCTTGTCACTTTCGAAGTTATTTCCTTCTTCATTAAGTATAAGTGGTAACCCCTTAATTACATTCTTCTATTAAAGACATTTCCAAACAATCTCTCTCATTGCAATTTAATGTTAAGAGAGAAAGTGGAAGAGTGTGTGCAAGCGTTTCTGGGCTATCCGCAAAACCCACAACTCACTGTTCACGAAATCACAACACGATTTAGCAAACACAAGCGTGGTTTGCTAGAGGTAGGAAAAAAAAAGCCCTTACCATGTAATAATATATCAGTTTTAGATTTCAATTCAGTCTTACACTAGCACCATATATATACAGTTTTTTTTTTTTTTTTTTTTTTTTTTTTTTCTTACTGTCGAGTGAGGCATGACTATAAGGACGACCACAAAACTCTCTACTAATTTTTTAATATATTTCAATTCATCATGTGATTGGTGGTATATTTGTAGGGTTTGTGTTTTCTAAAGTTAATTTAGATAACTTTATCTAATGTTCACCGAAACGACGTCATTTTGGGACAGAAATCATGGTGTGTTTGTAATTTTAATTTATTTTAGGTTATAATAGTCTTTATCATTCAATTTTTTTAATTTTTCAACTACAAAACGACGTCGTTTTGATGAACATTAGACAAAGTTATCTAAAGTAACATTAGATACTTTTTCCCCATATTTGTATTTTTTTTTTTGGAGATATTACAATTGATTTATTGTTTCGCGATTAATCCGATTCGAAATGGATCTTGAAATCAAAGCTTTAGATCCCTCCCAAAAAAAACAGTACTGGGGAGGATTTTATCAACAAATATTCTGTATTTTTCACCTTACAAATTTATGACCCATCGAGTTAGTTCCTTCAATACCTTCACAACATACAAACCCCCTTCTTTTACTTTGTGCAACAACTCATTACTTTTGTTTTTGCAACACCCCTTGTAGTTGCTGAAGTTTAATTATAGTACTTTCTTTCCCTATTTTCAGGCAATATGTCAGCAAAGGAGAGAAAGAAGGAGGAGGTCGTAGAGGATAGAAAGGAGCAAAAGGTTCCTTTGCTGAAGCTCTTCTCATTTGCTGACTTTTATGATTGTGCCTTAATGGCGGTTGGATCTGTTGGGGCATGTGTTCATGGTGCATCTGTGCCTGTTTTCTTTATCTTCTTTGGAAAGATGATCAATGTCATAGGCATGGCTTACCTTTATCCCAAAGAAGCTTCCCATCAAGTTGCCAAGGTTTGTGTTTTTTATAATAAGAACTTTTTGCCTTGCTTCTTAATTCCTGTTCTGTTCTGGATTTACATAATGGGCCATGCACACTTTTAGAGATTATAAATTTTATCTATTATAAGCTAAACCCTTTTATAAATAAAAGGTTATACTTTTATATGTATTTCTTTTGAAACCCTAACCTTTTTTATTGTGACTGCACATATACTACGTCCATTGGCTTCAAACCTCTTCAGTTTCAGTGTGCACAATAATTTGTCACCACCTGCAGCTTGCTCTTGCCATAGGCATCGCTAGTTCACAAATACCATGCATATTAATCAATCACAATACTCTTAAATCCAGCAATTCCCATGCACTATATATCTACTTTAATTTGCACCATTTAATATTCTTTTTTTTTTTTTGGTAAATATTAATATTCTTCTTTTTAATACTACTTGTTTGCGATTTTGCAGTATTCGTTGGATTTCGTGTATCTAAGTACAGTAATATTGTTTTCATCTTGGACAGGTATGAATTTATAATATGATTTTTAAGGAAAAAAAATAATTCTAACAAATGTTGATTTTATAATTTTTATTTACTAGCATTTTAATTTATTTGGGTGAAAATGCTGATATATATATTGTATATAGAGGTGGCTTGTTGGATGCATACTGGGGAACGTCAAGCAGCGAAGATGAGGATGGCATATTTAAGGTCAATGTTGAATCAAGATATAAGTCTTTTTGATACCGAGGCATCAACCGGAGAAGTCATCTCTTCTATTACAAGTGACATCATCGTTGTTCAAGATGCACTATCCGAGAAGGTATCCATGCATTTTCATCTTGTTTTAAGGTTTGTACATTTTCGCTGGCCACTATATATATAATGCTCTATGTATGGCAACAATTAATTATGAGAAAACATGAAGCATCTACGAGGCATCACGACCAAACGTGTTTTTGTATTGCAGCTATTTTTGTTTTCTATCTCCCAGATAAAAAGATAAATCTTTTTTTATCTATGATCTAAAATGATATAAAATTAATGGGAATAACATCTGTCATTTTAAAGGATATAAACTTATATCATTTTAGATCCTAATCGTTGATTTCCGTCCACCAGCGGTTATAATTTATTGGATAAAAATTATTAATTAATTAATAATAAATTTGGCTCATTAAGTTTGACCCAATAGATTATAACCATTGATGACAGAAATCAACGGTTAGGATCTAAAATGATATAAGTTTATATCATTTAAAAAGATAGATGTTTTTCTCAAAATTAAATATTTTAAAAGGATGAATATTTTTCCCTTAATATATTCGTCTAAATATAACATAAATTACATAATTATTTTAAGGATTTCAAATTTCTACCGTGTCGCTGCATCACCTTTTATGATGCATACACAGAAAAAGTGGACTCCACTTGTGTATATATATATATATATATATATATATATATATATATATATATATATAGGTAGGATCCTTTGACCGGTGTCAAATTTGAAGTTTGACACCTCATCTGAGAGCCGTTAGATCGAAAAAGATCAATGGTATCACATGCTTACAAAACAGCGTCGTTGATATTTTTCGATCTAACGGCTCTTAGATGAGGTGTCAAACTTTAAATTTGATACCGGTGTCAAAGGATCCTACATCACATATATATATATATATATATATATATATATATATATATATATATATATATATATTATAAAAAAAGCCAATATCTAGTTATCTACATGCGGTTCTTGACTTTCTTTGGTATTGCTGCAAAATTTTTATTTTGCAGCTGTAACAGAAGTACATTTCCCTTATTTTAATAGTGTAATTTAATAGTGACATGAATTTATTTTTAATAAAATATTAGGTAAATTTTTTTTTTATATTATCTTTTAAGTATGTTGTTAAATTATTTAAGGAATTTGATTATTAAAACTATTTTAAAAATTCTTTTCCATCAACTTATACGATGGAATCTCTACTCCTAAGTCCTAACTAAATCCTCTTTTGATTGTTTGTTTCAATTTTGCTACCTTGCTAGCTTGGCCATCATCATGCTTACTTCTTTACAATCCAATCAGTCAATCCATCAAGAGGAAGATCTCTTTTGTTTGTTGTTTGACTTATTTGGGTCAAATTATAGTTATTTTTTCCTTTTTTAACGTTAGGAATATAATTTTTAAAGTAATAGTAAGTATAGTGACACTCATTTTTTATTTATTTTTTTAAATTTTTGGTTTAATTTAAAAAGAAAAGGACATGGATCAACTAAATGGTGCCACAAGGTGAACTCCGGTTGGTCCTCAACCTTTTTTAAAACAATATTTTTATTCTCTTTATTATGAATATTCACTTCTCCAAAATCACTCACTTTAATTACTAAGTAATTATAATTATTAATTACTAAATAATTATAATCAATAATAATTATGAATTTTTACTAATTTTCAGATCCTTTGTGTAGTTTGAGTTGTGTAAATTCATTAGTTAATTATAATTAATTTTTTCCATTAATTAATTATAATTTATTGTTTTTCATCTTTAATTGATTATAATTGATGGAATAATATTTAAAATTTAAGATAATTTTTTTATCAATATAATAAAAATAATTTTTGAAACATATGATATTTAAAAATAATTAATGAATACATATAATATTTTTGAAACATATTATAATAAAAATGTAATGTTTAAACATACATGGTTGACCCTAGATGGTTGAAACAACCCCCTTTTTTGGACTTAACTCTATTAATGATAAAAAAACATATGATTGTGTTAAAAGTATTACATTGAAAGTGTTTATCAAATTTAAACTCTAATAATAATTGGGGGCATCTTCGCGGAATTTAAAATTTTCAGACGAGTATGTTAAGGTACAAATTAAGGACTCGGTATAAGTTTAAACATTTATTTGTGGTTATTTTAACTACAAATATTTAAAAAATTTAGTAAATATCAATAAATGTAGTCTTTAAATTTTAAAATAATTATTACTTTAAAATTTTTTGTTTTTTTTTTTAAAAATTAATTGCTAAGAAGACATTAGTTACTTTCTTTTTCTAACCTTTATCATTATTTTATGAGACAATATTAAAGGAACGAGAGAATATTATAGTTAAATGAGCTTGCATTTTTTAAAAAGTAAAAATATATAGTGAATTTTTAATTTTTTGTGTAAAACTTCAAATAATAATTATTTTAAAACAAAGGAAGAAATAATTTAAAACTCTTCTCAAATATATGTAATGTTGAAAACACAAAAACAATATATGTTTGTATCCGAGTAATTCTAAAAGACTCTATTTATCCATTTCGCGAGTCCTTTTTTCAGTTTCTCTTCTCCTCAAAAGAAGAATCAAAGTCAAACATATTTTTGTTAAAATTAAAATAATTTTTTTCATAATAAAAAAAAGTTAGAAACTTCCAAGGAAAACTTTTTTTTTTTTTAAGATGTACACTTGTTTTTTCAGAAAAAATTATAAATAAGTTACTTTATCAAATAATTATTTTTAGTTTTTTTTTTTAATTTCTCAGTTAAAATTTTTATATAATTAAATAACTTTTAACTTTATTTTTAAGTTTTAATTCTTAACTTTAACTTAAAAAAAAATGCAAAGCTCATATGTCTTCGAATTTCGCTAAATTAATCCTTTAAACTAGAGGCTATGTGCAAAAGAAATAATTTTGTCACAGCAAAGCATGGTAATAACTTTTCTCATGAATAATGGTTGAGTAAAAGATATATCAAACTTGATAATTGATGGGGTTTACAGGTAGGGAACTTCATGCACTACATAAGCCGATTTATAGCGGGCTTTATCATTGGCTTTGTGAGAGTATGGCAGATCAGTTTAGTGACACTTGCAATTGTACCCTTGATTGCCCTTGCTGGAGGTCTTTATGCATACGTGACGTTTGGGCTGGTGGCAAAAGTTCGGAAAGCTTATGTCAGGGCTGGTGAAATCGCTGAAGAGGTAAAGTTATCTGTTATGCTATATCTTTATAATAAACACCATCTCTTTCTATAAGCTCCAACTGATGTGAAGATTATTTTAATAATTTTATATTAGACTTTTTTAATATTATATATACGAGGTAAGATCGTTTGATACAAGTTAGAATTTGATACTTTATCTGAGAGTCGTTAAATCAAAAAGATCAATGACTCTGATATGTAAGCATGTGACACCATTGATTTTTTTTTTTTTTATCTAACGGCTCTCAGATCCTGTGTCAAACTTCAAATTTGACACTGGTGTCAAAAAATCTTACCTCTCTGTATATATATATACTAAAAAATTCTACAATTTGAATGTTTATTAGAATATTGAGAAGCGGTGAAAAAATAATTACTGATCATTTAGTCATATTAAACAAGGGAAATAATTATCTCATGCAACAGAGACAAAGTAGTAGGATCCACTATTTTGTCTTGTTTTCTTTTCTTTTTTTAATATAGTGGACCACATTATCTTATATTTGTTGCATCAGATAATTATCTCATACAAAATGAAATAAATAGATCCCATTAAACAGCCATCCCGCTACAAACTCAAGTTATTAACTAAATCTTAATGGTTTTATATTAGATTTATGTAACACTTCATATTTGACAAAGTGACAAAGGGTTTTAATTTTCTTACGCAGTAGGAGAAAATTGTCTCGTACCGTAAACATATTTTGTGTGAGACTCGCATCTATTTAAAAAAAAATAAAAAAAAATGCTACAAGAAAATAGAAGGGTCACTGGTAGAAGAAAATAATTTAACTAGAAACAAAAGTTGAGTATTTTTTAGTTGCTTCACTAGTAAGACCAAAGTTCATTCATATATGACCCATTACTATATGTCGTTCAATGACTATAATGTGATTGTGAAGTGACTATATTGTACTCTTTGTGGATTTAAGGTGTTAGGCAATGTCAGAACGGTACAGGCATTTGCAGGAGAAGAAAGAGCAGTAAGATTATACAAAGAGGCTCTGATGAACACATATAGAAATGGTCGAAAAGCAGGTTTGGCAAAGGGTTTGGGACTTGGCTCTATGCATTGTGTCCTTTTTCTATCATGGGCTCTGCTTGTTTGGTTCAATAGCATTGTTGTTCACAAAAATATTGCCAATGGGGGGGAGGCTTTCACTACCATGCTCAATGTTGTGATCTCTGGCCTGTAAGCCTTTGTTACCTTTTGTTATATATTGGTCCCATGTTATTTCATTGTGTTTATCTAATGCATACTGAGAAAGTAGATAATACTGCCTCATGATTGAATGATTTGCAATTTTTAATTTTGACTTAACAATTAATGTACTCCAAATGGAAGTTCAGCAAGTACATTTTCCAGATTACACTGCAACGTTTTAGCAATGGTCAATCAAATGAATGGGTATTTTCTTTTGTAAATTTTGTTATAAAGTAAACCATAAAAAAAATTAGTTAATTGCATTATTCTTGTGATGACATAACATACGGTAAATAAGTAATGGATGCATAATGCACCCCAAAAAGTAAAAGGATGTAATTAGAGGTCACATTTTTTTATATTAATGGTAGAAACCAAGGCATTAATAGGTTTTTATTGTGTTTGCTATGGTTAAAATGTGAGTTATTTGCAGCAATAAATTATTTTAGGTGAGATAAGGATAACTAGAAGATGCCTTAAAATAGATAATCTAAGTTGTTCACCAAAATCAAGAATGTTATTCAAAAGCAAGCTAATGAGTATCATCTACTTGAGATCATTTTTCTATTTGCTTCTCAGGTCACTTGGACAGGCAGCACCAGATATTTCTGCGTTTATCCGAGCAAAGGCAGCATCATATCCCATTTTTGAAATGATAGAGAGGGACACAATGAACAAAATAAGCTCAGAAATTGGTAAAACATTGAGCACATTGGAGGGTCACATCCAATTTAATGATGTCTATTTCAGTTACCCATCTCGTCCTGATGTAGTTGTCTTCAACAACCTTTGTCTTGATATTCCTTCAGGGAAAATTTTAGCTCTTGTGGGGGGAAGTGGTTCTGGAAAGAGCACCTTTATATCATTGATTGAGCGCTTCTATGAACCACTTTCTGGTCAAATACTATTAGATGGGAATAATATCAAGGATCTTGATCTCAAATGGCTTAGACACCAAATTGGGCTAGTTAATCAAGAACCTGCACTTTTTGCTACAAGCATTAGGGAGAACATATTGTATGGAAAAGATGATGCTACTCTTGAAGAACTAAATCATGCTATGCAGCTATCTGATGCTCAATCTTTCATTAACAATCTTCCTGATGGATTAGATACTCAGGTAAGCATTCATCTTCAGCATTTTAACATGTACCAACTTCCAAAAATTTCATAATCATGAGGTCATGTTTCCAACAAATTTATTCTTGCTCCTTGTCCATGCAATTTTTTTATCCTAGAAGGAAGATGGAAAAAGGAAATTCAGAAATGATAATCATACTGGTATAAATGGTTGAAATTTGTATCACAATAATTGCAACTGCAGATAAACAAGTGAAGGTAAATATGTATAGGTTATCTATTTTAGGAAATTGCAACTGGTAGCAATGGTTCCTAGGAAATTTTCACGGCGTAAAGAAACAAAAACACATTGCAACACTATATTGTGAGGGTGAGCCTTGGAGCAATGGTAAGGTTGCTCTTGTGACCGGAAGGTCGGGTTCAATTATGGAAAATAACCTCTGTACGAAAAAGTAAGGGTAAGGTTGTATACAATCGACCATCACATATATCCTTGCAAGTCGGAAGCCTTGTGTACTGGAGTTTGTCCTTTATTGGAACACTATATTGTGGGTGATAGTATGTCAATTGCATGATTTGTTAAACAAAGGTTGGGAAGTGCTTTTTATAACTCAAGTAAAATATGATGCATGTTTTTTCTTCAGGAAGGGATATTAACTTTCTTTTGCAGGTTGGTGAGAGAGGGATACAATTATCAGGGGGACAGAAGCAAAGAATTGCAATATCTCGTGCTATAGTTAAGAATCCATCAATACTTTTGTTGGATGAAGCAACCAGTGCACTAGATTCAGAGTCCGAGAAGAGTGTACAAGAGGCACTTGATCGTGTCATGGTTGGTAGAACAACTGTGATAGTGGCACACAGACTTTCTACCATTAGGAATGCAGATATGATTGCTGTTGTTCAGGAAGGGAGGGTCGTGGAAATTGGCAACCATGAGGTGCTCATTTCCAACCCAAATAATGTATATGCATCTCTTGTTCAAATCCAGGAGGCAGCCTCTTTGCAAGGACATCCTTCTAAGGATCCTTGCTTGGAACTGTCATCAAGGTACTTCATTCTCATGCTTAATTGCAATTAATAAAATTGAGATAACTTATCAAGATATGGTACTTACATAACATCCATTTGTTAAAGAGATTTATTGCAAAATTTGATATTTATTTATATAATTTTTGTGCTTAGTCAAGTGACTGTAATGAAAAAAATATGATATGGGAAATTCAAGCTTCTCGATGCAGTTAAAATAGAGAATTGAATGAGTTCATAGACAATCCTTTCTGTCACCTTTTACATACGCTACTAGGATAACATGTCCATTAGCATTGTACTTATGTTTATATGTTTATTTTGATTGTAGCATAATGCAGTCAAGAGAATTATCCTGTACAACAAGCTTCGGGGCTAGTTTTCGTTCAGATAAAGAATCCATTGGCCATTCTTGTGCTGATGAAATAGAAAGTGATGGAAAGTCAAGACATGTCTCAGCAAGAAGACTATATTCAATGATTGGTCCTGATTGGTTTTATGGGGTTTTTGGAACCTTGTGTGCATTTGTTGCTGGAGCTCTGATGCCACTTTTTGCTCTCGGAATCACTCACTGTCTTGTAGCATATTACATGGACTGGGATATAACACGTCATGAAGTTAAAAAAATTGCTTTCCTCTTCTGTGGAGGAGCAGTTGCAGCTATCACTGCCTATTCCATTGAACATCTTTCTTTTGGAATCATGGGCGAGAGACTTACCCTTCGTGTGAGAGAAATTATGTTTTCTGGTAATTGTGATCAACTGGTTCATACTTTACCCACTACTTATGTTCTTGTCTTCTTATGAGATGTTTCTTTTTAATCTTCCTATTGATTTTTGACAGCATTTGAATATCAAAGGAACCTCCACTCTGTTGAATGACGGTCAAGTTATTCAACATTGATGATTCACTCTTCATCTGATGAATTTTGTTATAGATATGCATTATTTGTATTTTTAAGTGTTCAAAAGATTAATATTGTCCTATTGATTCTAAAATATACAAAGCTGAAAAATAACATATCTATATACGTTAAAACTTGATGATTTTTCTTTCACCTAACATCTTTTATTCATCTGCTTGCAGCTATTTTGAAGAATGAAATTGGCTGGTTTGATAATACGAGCAACACAAGTTCTATGCTTTCATCACGTTTAGAGACTGATGCAACTTTATTAAGAACTATAGTTGTTGATCGTTCTACCATTCTCTTACAAAATGTTGGTCTGGTTGTTTCATCATTCATCATTGCCTTCATTTTGAACTGGAGGATGACACTTGTTGTTTTGGCCACATATCCTTTGATCATTAGTGGTCACATTAGCGAGGTTTCCTCTTGGTCTACAATTCAACGTTATGAAATAGTACATTTGTTTTGTTTCTTATAACTTGCTACTATCATTTCAGAAACTTTTCATGCAAGGCTTTGGTGGCAACCTAAGTAAAGCATATCTAAAAGCCAACATGTTGGCTGCGGAGGCAGTGAGTAATATACGCACTGTTGCAGCATTTTGTTCTGAAGAAAAGATCCTTGAACTTTATGCTGCTGAGCTTGTTGAACCTTCCAAGCATTCGTTCAGACGGGGCCAAATTGCTGGCATATTCTATGGCATTTCCCAGTTCTTTATTTTCTCATCTTATGGCCTTGCCTTATGGTATATGCTCTAGCTTCATTTTTTGTTTACTATGCCATAGGACAAATTAGAGGGAGTGGTAAAGTTGTTTCTTTGTGACTGCAAGGTCACGAGTTTAAATATGGAAAATAGCCTCTTTGCAAAATATGCAAGGGTAAGGCTGCATATAAGAATTGAGCTCACCTCTCTATCCTTAGTAGTCGGGTTTTAATAGGGAGAGGTTGTTTTAAGTCATAGAACAAATGTCTCACTAATTAGGAATTTGCCTTTGTACTGAGAGTTATATACATTCTGCAGGTATGGATCTGTCTTGATGCAAAAGGAGCTTGCTAGTTTCAAATCAATTATGAAGTCGTTTATGGTTTTGATCGTAACAGCACTAGCTATGGGGGAGACTTTGGCACTAGCACCAGACCTTTTGAAAGGGAATCAAATGGTTGCATCAGTTTTCGAAGTGATGGAGAGAAGGACAAGAATAATAGGTGATGCTGGAGAAGAGTTGGAGATAGTTGAAGGAACAATTGATCTAAAAAGAATCCATTTCAGCTACCCTTCAAGGCCAGAGGTTGTTATTTTTAATGATTTCAATCTAACAGTGCCCTCAGGAAAGAGCATTGCTTTGGTGGGGCATAGTGGTTCTGGCAAAAGCTCTGTCATCTCCCTTATACTCAGATTTTATGATCCAACATCTGGGAAGGTGATGATTGATGGTAAGATGTTTGAAAAACTTATAATTTAATTGCTCTTGTAAAGAATCAATTCATCCCAAAAATTTAAGCTGTTAGGTGAGACTACATTAATGGTTTTATATATCGCAACACGCCCCTTCACACGAGAGCTCGCTGGGCTTGAAGGATGGACAATGCACAGGCCCACCTACCTGTGCGAAGAAAGAAATTCCATTAGAAAGAAAGTGGAGGGCAGTGAGGATCGAACGCGGGACACGAGACTCTGATACCATGTAAAGAACCAATTCAACCCAAAAGCTTAAGCTATTGGATGAGGCTACATTAATGGTTTTATATATCTCAACAACTCTTACTCCATTTTTAGTACAAAAGGAGAAGAGCAATATAGGATAATTTTTTCAAGAAGCATAATACCTAAGGCCAAACACATATTGGCATGCATAAGTCGAATATAGAAAAGACTCATTGCTAGGGGTGTCAATATGGGTTTTGGCACGCGGGTCGACCCGCGACACGACACGAAAATTCGTGTTCGGGTTGACCCGTAAAAAAATTCGTGTCGTGTTCGTGTTGGAAAAAATGACACGCAAAAAATTCGTGTCGTGTTCGTGTTTATGAATTCGTGTTCGTGTCGACCCGTATTATTTTTAATTATTATTAATTTATTATTATTATTATTATTTTTTATTTTTTTATTTATTTTCGATCTATTTTTTTAATTTTTTTGTCAATTACCGTTTTGTCCCCTATTTTGCGTGTTATTCGTGTCGTGTCGTGTCAACCCGCAAAAAATTCGTGTCGTGTCAGTGTTGAAGATTTTGACACGAATGAAAATTCGTATCGTGTTCGTGTTGATGTATTCGTGTCGTGTCAACCCATATTGACACCCCTACTCATTGCATAAAAGTGTAAGTAATGTCAATGTGCTAGTTATCATAAATGTGAAAACATTGTTCTAACAGTGATTCATCAAATTAATACAGGAAAAGACATCAAGAAACTCAATTTGAAATCCCTTAGGAAGCATATTGGTCTTGTGCAACAAGAACAAGCTCTTTTTGCAACATCAATTTATGAAAATATTCTATACGGGAAGGAAGGAGCATCTGAATCAGAAGTAATTGAAGCAGCTAAACTTGCCAATGCTCATAATTTTATTAGTGGTCTTCCTGAGGGCTACAACACCAAAGTTGGTGAGAGAGGAGTTCAACTATCTGGTGGCCAGAGACAAAGGGTAGCTATTGCTAGAGCTGTTTTGAAAAACCCTAAAATCTTGCTACTAGATGAAGCCACTAGTGCACTGGATGTGGAGTCAGAACGTGTGGTACAACAAGCTTTAGACAAATTGATGCAGAACAGAACAACAATTATGGTTGCACATAGGTTATCCACAATAAGAAATGCAGACCAAATATCAGTTTTACAGGATGGGAAGATAATTGAGCAAGGGACTCATTCAAGTCTTGTAGAGAACACAAGTGGAGCATACTTCAAATTAGTCAGCCTTCAACAACAACAACAGTATGTACAAGAACATGATGGATGACATAACGAAAAGACTAATGAATTTTCTTATACTATAAGTAATTTTTTTTAATCACCCCTTTTACAGAGATGGTGTTTGGTCAGGAAAATAATCATATATAGGATGTGATAGTAACTATTGTAAAATTATAAAATTGCTCTTAATATTTACTTCTTGATTGGTAATTTGTTTTATCATAAAAGAGTGTATCAGCCCGACATTTTATCTAATCATTTTCTTTATTTTTTTTCGCCTTCAATTTTAAAAAACCTAAAACAATACAAAACATATAACCAAAAAAGAAGAAGAAAAAGTTCAGTGATTGTAACCTTTTGCTATTATTTACTCTAAGGATGATGAGGAACAAAACTCATTTGTGTGATTTACAGTTTTTATTAAAATAAAAAAGAAGAAGAAGACAATATGCAAAACACAAAAAATTAACATCATACTTAAGAGCATTTGTTTTGGAGGAAATGGTGGACTCAATAAGAAAACCACTCACCAACACTAATAGGGTGTTTAAGCTGGTAGAGATCAAAACTCTATTTCAGAGGGTGTTTTAGTTAATATATTTTTATTAAAAATTATAAAAAGGCACCATATATTTATTATATTTCATAATTTTAATATTTTGTATAGAAAGAGATTAAAACAATATATTTGATTTCATTATTTTCTTTACAAAATGGTAAAAAGTAGAAATAAAATTTAAATAATAAAACAATTTTTTAATTATTAATAAAATTATATCAATTGAACATAAAAGAAAAACAAAGTAATATCCTATTAGATTTGAGATTGACTTATGTCGCAAGCCATCTTTTTCATAATAATAATAATAATAATAATAATAAAAATAAAGTGCTAGGCATAAAGTTGCCTTTCAAGTTTTAATGGTTATGGAATAACCTAGGTCTTCATGAAAGTGTTGCATGGATGATGGTGTTGGAGTGTGTATTAGACCTAAGTCATGTTGGAAAGAATGCTTATAGAATGATTTAGTTGGTGAAAAGTGTTAAGATATTCATTTAGAACACTTTAATGATTTTTGAAATTTTAGCATATGAAAAGTGTGAGATTTCTTGCATTTCAAGTAATATGAATGGATGTTTATTGAAGTCTATGTTTGATTGGTTTAGTAGTTTGGATTCCATTGATGTTCAAGTTGGGAACCAAGCATTGGGCCAATCTATTGATCAAAGTGTGGATTCTTGAGTGAATTCAAGGATTTGAGGTGAGTTCCAACTTTGTGTTCATTGTTGAATGAGGGTTGTTAGCTTGCTATGTGTATACATATATGTAATTAATTGTGATTTCACCTTGGAAATTAGGTGTTGATATAACAAGCTATTGGTTGTTGATATCTCTAGTAATTTGCAAATGTGCGTGGTATTAGATAGGAAGCTTCAAAGAGGTAAGTTTTCGGACCTTGAGATTTATCTTTTGTTTGTTCCATCATGCCCCGATGGAGTAGTGGTTTTATATAGTGTACGTAAGTGCATTGCATGTTGGTTTAATGCATTGATATATGTATGTGTATGCTTTGTGTGCCACACAAGACAGTGATTCCTTGTGTGAGGCATAAGAAGGTGATTCCTTATACTTGGTATATTGCAAGACAGTGATCCTTGCGTAATTCTTACATTGTAGGTTCTTTGACTAGTAGAATTTATTATTGCACACTTTGCATGGATATGAATATAATGTATTGTTTTGATTTTACTGCTTTTACACTGAAGTGAACTTGGGGTGGGGGAATCCTCTAAAGATCCATAGTTTACTGAGATATTTATCTCACCTCGTATGCGGACATATTTCAGGTGCAGGTACTGATGGAGATGGATCTTCCCTACCTAGGCAAGAGGCTTGAGTAGGGGATGGTGCCTTTTATATAACACCTCGTATTTCTTAAACGTATAATTATATATGAAAATGTGGATTAAGGGGTAAGATTAGTAAAAATCCTGAAATTAGGGTCAAAATACATAAGAAGGGTAAAATGGTAAATTATCAAACATGTAACCCTAGGAAAGAAAAATTGAGTAGGAGGTCTCAAATGAGAAAACTAACCCTGGAAATGGATTCAAAACAAAAAATTGAGTGGTTAGGCAAGCTTCTGGAAAAATGATGAATAATATTTTTACCGAGTAAAAATACTGCGGTACAGTTGCACTGTAAAGCGTGCCAAATGAAATTTGAGGTCTAGATTTAGAAATAAGTTATAAATGGTACATAAGACTATAAAATATGATTTCTGGTGAAAATTGATGAAAATTAGGGTTTTTGGGGAAGCGTGTCCACAACACGCATAACAGCTTAAGATTGTGATTTCTTCGAACGACCGGAAAACTCCGGATTCATCTGATAAAGGAAAATTAAAGGACAATGGTTAATGTTAAAAATTAGAGTTTCTAAATAGTTTAGAAAATTATGGACGTTTAGTGGAATAAACGAGAGATTTGATTTAATTTGAATCACGTGAGGTGGCAGTGGGACCCACCCCACTTAAGTGACTTAAGACACCTAAGCATATTCACTATTTATCATCACCCTCACTCCTCTCTTCCTCTCAAACCCGAGCTCCCCTCCCATTTATGCAAGTTTTTCTTTGAAATTTCATTTGCTCCTAACTCACTCAAATCTCCACCAAAATCCAACTTCCACTACATCAAACTTTAAGTAAATGACCTTCTAAACAAAACCACGATAGTTTTAGGGCTTGAAACTCAGTGATTTGGGAGAAAAAGCACATCTAAATCTGCGGCCATTTGAGGAATTTCGAGGTTCTTGGAGTTGATTGATCCTCCAATTCTTTGGTATGTTGTAGAGGAGTCCTAGGCCTTGCTTGTGAGTAAGTTTCCACACTTTTAATTGATTGAATTGGTAGATTTGATTTTGAAAACCTAAAGCTAGTGTGCATGGATTGATGTAGTTAGAGAGCGCAAATTGAAAATGTGTATTAGATAAAAGTGGCTTAGAATGATGTTTTATAGTGATAGAAACCATAAAAATTATTGAAGAAATATTTGAATAACTTAAGAAATTTTGAGTTGCAAATTCACGACTTTGTGAAATGACATGGTTGTAGGATTATGTAATTGAGTTGTGGAGTATTTGTATGAGTTGATTAAAGGATTGCATGATGTGTGGAAGTGTTGAATTGAATTGAAAACTTTGGTGTATGCTTCCATGAAGATTTCGGCCATTGTAGGGCATATAGGGTTTGATGATGAAAAATTCATGCAGTTGGCATTTTGAAGGTTTGAGCTAAGTTTAGAGTGGTTGTATGTTGAGTTTTGCATTAAATTGGAAACAAAACCATTGGGTGATGTATGTGTATGCATTTCGGCCATTAAGGGGAAATTAGGGAAAATGGTGCTACGATGGTATTACATGGAATTTAGGACTTAAATGGGTGTTGTGATAAGCTTATGAAACCATAGGAACCTTTAAATAAAATTAAGAAAATGGTTTGGTAAATTTGGGCTATATGGCCAAATGGTGATGTGTGTGTGGGGGATCTTGGTGCTTTGTGATTTTGATTGGTTGCACCTTGCATTGATGATTCTTGTGTGATCATTGTAGGTTGCCTCCCACGGACGTAAACTTAGAGCTTTGAGCTTGGTGGGTTGCCTTTGGTCCTTGACCAAAGGGATTGTGGTAAGTGGTTATGTAATGATGTATGAATATGTGAACGATCATGTATATGTATTATGTGGTTGTATTGAAATGGAAATGACCTATGTGTAGGCATTTCTTGTTGGACCAAGCTCAGTGGTGTATTGGATTGGAGCTACCAAGAGAGGGAGCTATTATCAGGTAATCCCTTGGTACTGGGGTTAGTCCCTGACTGTGCTCCACCATGCCCCTTGAGGGTAGTGGTTGCAGGTGTATGTTGATAGTGTATTATAACATACTCATGCATTTATGTATGTATAGTGGTACATAGGATGTACTGTGTCTCTGGCCAGTAGATTGTTGCCTTCGGGCGTTAAGACTTCCACTGGATAGGTCTCCGTGAGGGAGTTCCAGTTGACCTAGGGTCATGGGGAGTCATCCGTTGAGGAGCACTCTAGGAAAGTCTCGTGTGTATATGGATGGAGGGTGCCTTGGTTGATGTTCTGGGAACACTTCCTTAGATGAGAACCCGTAAGCTATATGCCGAGGCCAATAGGCCGGATATTGCATGGCTTTGGCATTGACCATTCTAGCTTCATCATATTTTTACTCCCTACACATCCCTACTTCACTAAATCCCTTGCTTTATCCCCTTTTGGTTGTTGTGGTATATTATTGATGTACATATCAATGAACCATTGGGTGGAGTAATCTTCAAAACCTCTTGGTTACTAAGATATATTTGTATATCTCATCCCATTTTGGGGACTTTATTTCAGGTAGTAGCAGTAGGGCAAGAACCGTGGGCAAGAGGCCCGTAGGATGAGCATTATAGATTATACATCTTTTTTGCATTTTGAGGCCACTTGGCCTAGGCTAGACTTAGGGCATGAACAATGTATGTTGATTTAGAATTATGCATATTGTCATCTTTGTTCAGTGCCATATTTTGTCTAAGCTTAGTTGATGGTTTACCATGTTTATTTTGAGGATTCATTATGTTGTAATTGGAGATTTATTTGTATTATGTTTCATTGGAGGCTTGTAATTGTAATATTGGACCTTGTGTGTTATTGAAGATGACGTATGATGAAAGGGCATTAGGCCTATTTTAGTTGATGAATTATGGGTATGTTTAAAGAATGCATGCAAATGGATCAAAGTGATTGAAATATTTTTAAGTTTTATAATTTGAGAAATGAAATGTAAAGTGAGCAAATGGATATAAATTGTGATGTGTTGTAAGAGCTCCAAGGCATTGCTAGTCCTTTAGTGCCACCCATGTCTATTAGGTACCCTTGATGGTAGATAACACACTTTTACAAAAGTGGGATATATTGGAAAAACAAATGAGATGCTGCCAAATTTTTTATAAAATGGCAGATTTTGGGTGAACTTTGGAGGAGCATATCTCCCTCCACAGAAGTCCAATAAGGACGTGCCATACACCATTTTGTTTGAAAGGATAAATCCAAGTG